CTGAGCAAAATAAGTCAATCAGAGGAAGACAATTATCATATGATCTCCCTGATATGAGGAATTTGAGAGGCAGGGTGGGTGGTTTGGGGGTAGAGAAGGAAAAGATGAAACCAGATGGGATCAGGAGGAAGACAAACCATAAGAGATTCTTAATTTTACAAAACAAATCTAGGATTCCAGGGGGGTGGGAGGGGAGGGATAGGGTGGCTGGGTTATGGACACTGGGGAGGGTATGTGATATGGTGAGTGCTGTGAAATGTGTAAGCATGACGATTCACAGACCTGTACCCCTGGGGCAAATGATACATTATATGTTAATAAAAATAATAATAAAAATGTTATAAAATTGATGGTGATAATGACTGTACAACTCTGAGACTATATTAAAAAACTTGTGGGGCACCTGGCTGGCTCAGTTGGTAGAGCATGTGACTCTTGATATCAGGGTTGTGAATTCAAGCCCCATATTGGACATGGACTCTACTTTAAAAAAAATTAATTGTGTAAATAGATAAATTATGCAGTATGTGAATTTCATCTCAATAAAGCTGTATTTTAAAAAGCTAAAGGTACATGCCCAAATATTATTGATGGAAAACATATGTGATATAAAAACTGATGCAATAGGGGCGCCTGGGTGGCTCAGTGGGCTAAAACCTCTGCCCTTGGCTCAGGTCATGATCCCAGGGTCCTGGGATTGAGCCCTGCATCGGGCTCTCTACTCAGCATTGAGCCTGCTTTCCCCCGTTTCTCTGCCTGCCTTTCTGCCTACTTATGATCTCTGTCAAATAAATAAATAAAATCTTTAAAAAGAAAACTGATGCCATAACAATAATCTGCACATAAACCATAAATGATACTATCCTGGAATTGAGGGAGGGAAGAACAGGACAAAAGGAGAGGTGTGAAATTTCTCACACATACATGGAGTCATGAGACAGTAACATATTGTTTTACCCTTGATTAGAATAAAAACTAAAATACAACCATTAATAGTATTGAGACCAAAATGTCCTCCAAAGCACTAGAAAAAATAAATTAGATGGAATTACACTTACAAGTTAACTGTGGTCACCTCATTACTATGACACTATGAGTGATTTGTATTTCTTCTTTATACCTTCTTTTCCACATTTTTATAATGTTTTTATCTTTGTATGAATCTGCTTTTCTTTGTGACTGACTTTTTTAAAACCCAACTTAATTTACTTATGCATTCATTTATGGTTAATTTTTAATAGGTTAATATAGTCAGACAATTTGGAATTCAAAAGATTAAAAAAGTATGTTGAAAAGTATCCCTGCCACCTTTGCATCTCAGCTGCCCAGCCCACCACTCCCAGCATGGAATCTATAAATATTATGTTTATTGGGTATCTTTGTGGAAACATTTTATGCGTATATATTGACTCTTTCATTTTTTTAATGCAAATACAGTGTAATAAGTACTGTTCTTCACTTCACTTTTTTATTCAACAATATGTCCCTCATCAGTACTTAAAAAGTTTCCTTTTTTAATTGTTTTATTTATTTTTATTTTATTTTACTTCATTTTTTTCTTATTTATTTGTCAGAGAGAGAAATTGAGAGAGTGGCAGGCAGAGGGAGAAGCAGGCTCCTTGATGAGCAAGGAGCCTGATGCGGCAGTCAATCCTAGAACCCTGGGATCATGACCTGAGCTGAATGCAGACACTTAACTGACTGAGCCACCCAGACATACCTTTCCTTTTTTTTTTTACTTTATTTTTTTCAACATGATAAGTATACTCTTTAATTCCCATCACTTATTTCACCCATCCTCCCACCCACCTCTCCTTTGGTAACCATCAGTTTGTTCCCATAGTTAAGTCTCTCTCTCAGCTTGTCTTTTTTTTTTTTTCTCATTTATTTTGTTTCTTAAATTCCACATATGAGTGACATTATAAAGTATTTATCTTTCCCTGGCTGAGTTATTTCACTTAGCATTATACTCTCTAGCTCTATCCATGTTGTTGTAAACAGCAAGATTTCATTCTTTTTATGGCTGAATAATATTCCATTATATACAAATACAAATATAAATATAAATACACACACACACCATATATTCTTTATTCATTCATCAATCAATGGTCACTTGGGCTTCTTCCATAGTTTGGTTGTTGTAAATAATACTGCAATAAACGTAGGGTAATGTATCCGTTTGAATTACTGTTTTTGCATATTTTGGGGTAAATACCCAGTTGAACAATTACTGGATCATAGGGTAGTTCCATTTTTAATTTTTGAGAGTTTCCTCTTTCTTTTTAATGGCAGCATGGTGATCTACAGTAAGGATTTACCATAATACATTTAGCCAGTCTCATATTGACAGAATACTTTTATATTTGGCAAGAAAAACAAAGTAACTTGGGAGAATAAACTAAAATGTTTTCAAATTCCACCCCCCACCCAAAAAAGGTATCACCATTGATTTAAAGTCACAAATTCTTTTTGACAACAACTATTGGAATATTGCTGCTTTTTGTATCTGAAGACCTTATGACCAGATTAAAGAGACATACCAACAACTATATTGAAGCGATTTTATAAGCAAATACATTTTCACTTCCCTTTTCATTCTCTAGTCTTTAAAGCTTCTAGGTGTATGTAAAATAATCAACCCAGTATTTATGCCACCATATTTTAAATTATAGTAGCAATGTGGTAAATGTGTATGTTCCATGGACAGAATGGGAACTGATCTCATCATCATCAACCATAATCAATCACAAATACTTTTTTATTCCTTGTCTTCAGGGTTGTATGTTAGGCCTTACAGTTCTCTTTATATGACACCTTTAAAATCAGGTTTAAGGTAAGTTTCATCTCTTAGTCTCCCAATTAAACAATGCATTCTTCAAATAATTTTCTTTTGGATTCAATAATATTTAACTCTCATTGTTCTCATCTATGTTTTAACCTCAGGCTCTTCCTACCCTTAAATGTTATTTTCTTTTTTTCCTTTTCCAAGGACCTCTCTTCTATGTGATCACTCAGTAAGCTCAGACACTCTCCTAGTTTAGCCATCATCTCTATGTTGGGGATTTCCAAATTTATGGCTCTCTCCCAACTTTGAAGCCAGTATTTCTAACTGCCTACTAGACAGTTCCACTTGGTACCCCACTAATACCTTAAATTTAACCTGTCTAAAATAAAAAATTCATTATCTTACCATGTAAACCTGCTCCTCTCTGACCACGTTCATTCATATAATACAACAAAAATTTATTGAGTCATGGTTTATACACAAGTCATGGTGCGAAGTTTAGATTCTACTCAAAAGATTCTTAGACGGTCTAGAATAGCCAGTCTAGAACGACATCATATCTTTGTTCATACCTCTATTATAGCACATATATTTTTATTTTAACTAGCAATCACAGACTAACCAAGATAAATAATAGGTAGCAGTGGAAAATAAGATTGGAGCGGATGATTGAGGTCAGAATATAGACCTTCAATTATAGGCTAATTATATCGACTTTATCAACTTAATTGTGTACAAAGTGGGAAACTCTAAGCAGTTTTTGAGCGGAGAGTCTCTACATTCCATTTTCAGATGATGAGTCTGAATATGATATGTAAAAAAGGATTTAAGTGGGGAACTATTAGAGTATGGGAAAAGGTTACTATAAAAATTGATGAAACAGAGGATTTGAACCTGAACACACACAGTGAGAGATTCAATTTCAAGGCTTTGATCAGCCTATAGAGTTTTGTGTCAGAATATACTTCTGTGTTTATTGGGTTTTAGCTGCACAAGACACTGATCATTCCTGAATACATACCCCACCCTGCTTCCACAGTTTTTTAGAATCTAAATCAAAAACTTTCAGGGAAGAATTTCCCTATTGCCCTCAGCTAAAATAAACTGCTTCCATAGGATTTTATCTGTAACTTCCTGGTGCCGTTTAGTCATTCCTCCCCCACAAAGCTATAAACTCCTTGAGGTAAGGGGTTATACATTATTTATTCTGGTTTTCTTCAAATTTAGCACACAGCCTGACACATACTAAGCTCCCTATATAAACAATGAGTTATACTGGCTCAGAGGAACATGCACAGGTTTTTGGAGATAGATTTAAGGATTAAACTGCAGATTAGCCATTCACTCATTAGCTAAATGATCATGAGCAAGCATTTAACTTTTCTTAAGCTTCATCATATATAAAATAAAAAATCCTTGCAAATTGTTGTGAAGCTTTGAGAAGCACCTAGCAATGTACACAGTGCATAGTGGATATTCAATAAATAGTAGTTATAACTATGGGTTGAGGAATTTTTTTTTTTAGTCTCAGATAAAACAGCAGCAAGTTTTTTGTACAGAGCATATTCATCAGAGCTTTTATGTCTTCTATAGATTTGTTAACTATGTTCAGTTATGACTGCTCTTGGTTGAAGAAAAATTGATGTACACACTCAACAAACATTCATGAAAGCCTACTATATGCTAAAGCATTGGGTATATAAAAAAATGAAGAAGGCATGGTCAGGAAAGTATTTCAAAATGCTATTAGGAACACGTAGGTCCTCCTCTCCTTGTCTTTACCATCCAATAAGGATGGCTATTGCTGAGTTTCCAGGACTTATATGAGGTACCACTCGGTTACATTATATAATTTCATATTTCATTAATTAAAAAAGTATTAACTACTCCGTGGCACATTGTGCCAGAAGATACAGAAACAAAAAATTAAGACAAACAGTTGTCAGAGTGCCTGGGTGGCTCAGTCAGTTAAGCAGTTAAGCATCTGATCCTTGATTTCAGTTCAAAATACAGTTTCAGGGTTGTGAGCTCAAGCCCCGCATAGGGCTCCACGCTGGGCATGGAGCCTACTTAAGATTCTCTCTCTCCCTCTGCCTCTGCTCATACCCCCTGCCTCCCAAAATGGAACAGTTGCACACAATACAAGGAGGAAGGGTATTACTGAGTTTCTGTGTCATATATGAATATCCTTTTCACTATAATTCCATCCTTACCTATATAGACTTCTGCAATCAAACTGAGTAAAATCTGTAAAATGATCCAGTCCTTTTTATTTCCTATGTTACTTTTTGGCTTGTGATCTTGATTTATGATAACTTGAAGATTTAGTCATCCAGGTGCCAACAAATCTGGTAAAGAAATAAAAGGCAGGTTGCTAGCTCATTAAGCTCTTCTCGATGGTCACCAATTTAAGTTAAAACTATTTAGTAACTACTAACCTTATTGATAGCCCTTTTTTATTTCTGAATTCTTTTAGCAGTTCAAAATTACCTATTCAGCCATCTCATTTATTTATTTGTTAATAAAGCTAAGTTCTAAATTGTATAATTTACAGTCTGTCAAATCCTTTGGATATGAACTGTAGTTCATCCTAGAAAATTCTTTAACTGTAATTTCATTGTAATTATATTTATAGAATCTTTGTAGAATCACAGTTAATATGCAAAATATTTTCATTCACAGTAAATAGCAAGTAACCACTTCCCCAAAATACTTCTCCTCATAGCTTTACTCTTCTTCTCCTCCACTTGTTTTATTCTTACCATAAAACTAATTGATTAAGGTCCCTTGTTTGGTTATAAAAATGACCCTACCTGAGATTTTTTTCATATAATCCTAATTAGCATTGTCATTCCTGTGCTTCCAGAATAAAGGAGAATTTGGATATATGACTGCAAAATTAAAGAACTATCTTCCACTAGTCACAGTTCTGTATATGGTACAACCATCATCTGAAATCTAGTACAGTAATATTATTTCTACAGAGGCAGTCAAAGCTACAATAATTGCTAAATTCAGAAACCAATAGTTGAGCAGTTTCACAGGCTATCATTACCAAAATGCACACTAGATCTATATTGTCATGCCATTAACTGATTTTTGCTTTAAAAAAATTAAATATTTGATCAAGGTCAGAAAGCTTCAGAATAAATAAGGACAAGCATCCTGGAAGAATGTTAGGATTGAAAGCACACAGTTTCAGGCCTGGTTAAAAAAAAATCAGACACCTTGATCCTGAATGAATGAATCTTCAATAGTTGAATAAAACCTTTAGATACAGCACTTTCTGAGTAGACTAGTAGCGTAGCTGCTGGGGGTGAGGTGGGGGAAATGGGGAAGAACTACTCATTGGGTACTGACCTTCTTTTTGCGGTGATGAAAATAATTTGGAACTAAATAGAGGTGATTGGTGCACAGCATTGTGAATGTACCAAATGCCACTTAATTGTACACCTTAAAGTGGTTAATTTTACATTGTGTGGATTTCGCCTCAATTCGAAAAAATTTTAATGAAAATTAAAAGATACAGGGCCTGAGCACCTGGGTGGCTCAGTGGGTTAAAGCCTCTGCCTTCAGCTCAGGTCGTGATCTTGGAGTTCTGGGATCGAGTCCCGCATCGGGCTTTCTGCTTGGCAGGGATCCTGCTTCCTACTCTCTCTTTCTCTCTCCCTGCCTACTTGTAATCTCTTTCTGTCAAATAAATAAAATCTTAAAAAAAAAAAAAAAAAAAAAGATACAGGGCCTTCTGGCAGAAGGGGACTTTACTTAGTGAAGGCCCCAAGAAGTACAACGCCTCGCTGAAGCTCAGGGAGGTCGGTTAGGGTCACTCCCACCTCACAAAACGCTGTGTGGGCCGTTTACAGAATTCCCTCTGGCAGACCCTAGTTTCAGCAACAGCCAATTAACCTGCACCATCTTGAACTCATTTCGGTGAGAATGAGAAAGCGGCAAAATATTCATCAGAATCTTCTAGAAAGCCGCACCGCCGGTCATCTAGTAAACCCTCAGGAGCAACAGCGAACATGAGGGTGGAAACAGTAGAAGCCATTTTTTTTTTTTTTTTTTAAGGCTTTTGTCGCGGGGGGACGGTACCAGTGAGGATTCAAAAATCTTCAAACATTACACTTAAACCTAGATGCTTAACTATGACAGATGCATCTGTCAGGCGCACAGCATCTCACGGCGAAACGCCTCTTTCTGTGGCGACGAAGTCTCTAAGCCGCTTTCTGTGGCGACGACGCTTTAAATGAACTCTCACCGCCATAACCATCCGCGGGAAAGCTCCCTTCACCCGCTGAAGAAAGCGGAACTTCAGAGGGCACTCCCGCCACACCGCGCCGCTGGGCTTCCTGGGAATTGTAGTTTTAGTTTTCTCATCCATGCCTTTTGTTTAGACCGGTATGGAGTGAGCCAGAAAACTACAACTACCAGAGTTGCTCCGCAGCGGCGAGTAGCCGCGGCGGTGACGACCGCGGCGGGGAAGGCCTGGAGGGGCTCGGCGTTCTGGAGTGGCGCTGCTTGGGCCGGTTGCAGGTTGCAGACTGCTGGCGCCGCTGCTGAAGAGAACGGCGAGTGGGTTCGGCGTTTCCCGTCGGGGTCCCAGCAACGATGAGTGCGGCCAGGGAGTCCCATCCGCACGGGGTGAAGCGTTCAGCCTCCCCAGACGACGATGTAAATAACAATGGCGGAGTGGATGAGGGTTGAGGCCTACTAAAGGCTGGGGTAGGCCGGGAAGGGTGGTTTAAGAAGGAAGAAGGGTTCGAGGTGGCCCGAAGGGGGAGGGCCGAGGGGGAGGAACCAGAAGAATGGGAAATGTCTCCTTTCCTAACTTAGGGTCGGAAGGTTTGTAGAGGTCTACATCTTAAGAGCCAGAGACCTGCGTAGGAAGGGGGATCGAGGAAGGAAGTCCTGAGAGGGTCGGGAAGCGTATCGCGGGGCTGATGAAGCTTCTTTGTCGGGCGTTTCTACTGGGGATAGGGATGGCAAGATCCCTCCTGTTTGAGGTTTAAACTGTTCCTATGACAATGTCAAGATGTTGGTGCACATTTGGACAGATTTTTCCGACCGGAATTATTTTCGCGCAGTGTGCTATTGGGAATAAACCGAAAACAGTATTGAACCGAAAATTGTACCGGGAGGGGCATTTCGTACTGACGCATGGTGATGAGGTCTAAAATGTTGGGACCTAGAAGCCCATTTTGATTTCAGCTACCTCCTCCTTTTCCCCCCACCCAAGCTTGTCAGCTTAAATAGCAAACCACTCATTCCTTAAAGTAACCCATTAAATATTTACTGCTATGCCAGGTGTTGGGAATTCAAAGATGAATGAGTACGGTGCTTATCCTAGGTCTTTTTGTATATTTGTCCTAGCTCTTAGCGCAGTGTCATGGAGACTGCAGTAAACGGAAAACTAGGTCCTTCATACAATGGATGAACGCCATGGAAACGTTGACTGAGAAATTTTTAGGGACGGGTAGGTGGGGGCATGGAGAGGTCATCCTTAAGGATGAAAAAAGAACTACATCTAATTTTCTTTAAGTTATTGTTTAAAGCACTATTTCTGAATATGTTGAATTCTTTATAGTGCAGTTCAGTGCACTTTCATAATACCTTTGTGAACCGTTAAAAGCTCACTGAAGACTACTACTAGTGCTTAAGTTGTATAAGACCCACCCCTCTTCGGATAGAAGGTGGGATTACGACCGGAATACCAAGGTTCTTAAATTGAATTTAATTTTGCAGAAAGATTAGTAATCAGGAAAGATTTGGGGATGAAAAATTACATAGTGAGATTTTTTTGGTGCCCTCTGTTCTTCCCTGCTACTGCCTCTTAGATCTTGTTAATATGGTAATCCAGTAGTTGTTAGTCATTTATCTAAGGCATTTGAGTAACCTGGATGCCATTTTAAAAGCTATTACATTGTTTTCCTCCTGGTATTTAACTGTGACTTGATTCCTAGAATGTCAGGCACCTGTTTTGCTAGACTCAGAAATACCTTTTAGCTTGACGGAGAACTCTTGATGTTAGGTTATTTAACAGAACGTTAAAGGGATAACTCCACAGCTTCTGTTGGGATCAGTTTAAGATGACCTTTAAGACCTTTTCCAATCTTACAAGCATTCTTTTGGAGGGAATGGTTGTAGTTGCAATTCAAGATTAGGTCCTACAACTTTCACACATTATCTAAAAATGATTATGTTGCTAATTTAATGTGCAATAGAATAATTGTCTTTTTGATAGTGATTTTTTTAAGTCAGTTTCTTTCATGTGACTATTACTTTTACTAGTAATTAGGAGTTTACTTGTTTTTTAAAAACATATTTAAATACTATATACAAAATTAAAAATTATTTTTAAATGTACATTTAAGTTGTAGAAAATCAGTTAATTATAATTGAAGTTGTAATTGATCATCAATTTCTAATGAACATACACTGCGTGTGAAAGATAATCAGTTTCTCTGCTTAATCACCTCACATATTAAATGGAGATAACAAAACATTTGAAAGATGTTAAAAGTAGAAGACACCTCAGTTAAGCATTTGCCTTCAGCTCTGGTCAGAATCCCAGGGTCCTAGGATAGTGCCCCATGTCAGGCTCCCTGCTCAGTAGGGAGTCTGCTTCACCCTCTCACTCTGCTCTTCCCCCCCACCTCATGCACATTGCCTCTCTCTCAAATAAATAAAATATTTTAAAAGGAAAGAAAGATGTTCAAAATAGATATTAAACATGGAATCCAGCTTTAAGAAAATGCTGACAGTGTTAGAAGTAAATTCTAAGAGTTACTACATTATGTATTCAGGAGGAGGTAAATTGACTACAGTTCTATAATAAAAGGTATTAAGGATAACTTAAAAATGGTCTCATTGGTTTGATTGGAGTGGAGAAATGAAAACTATTTTTAAGAGAATGGGAGGTGAGGGGAAGTTAATTTTAGTAACTGGTGGAGACCCTCCAAGAATGTATCAGGCACCCATGTGCTTTTGAAAATGCAGCATTTGAGCAAGGTAGTTGCTGTTGTATGCTGAGGTCTTTGAAAGGAAGAACCAGAAGGACTTGACGATTGGAAAAAAACAATAGGATTAAATATTATAAATGATAGAATTATTTCTGTAAAGACTTCGGAAGATATTTGCTCTTTTAATAGAAAAGTTTTGGCTTTTAGAAAGTTGTTTTGTTTTTAACTTGATTCTGTAACTTTTATAACTAGTTCATAAACTATCACATATTCTGTCTCATTTGGTCATGTACAGCATGATGTGGAAAGAACAGAGAACTTAAGGCAAGAGGATCAGTCACTTAAACTTTTAAGTGACTTTGCCTCAGTGTTCTTATTTATTAACTGGACTCTTGAGAGAACATAAGTGAGCAGTCTTTGTATGCTGTAAGTTGTGAAACACTGCAATTCTTAGGTGTTGTTATTCTTGAGACAGTCTTTTAAAGAAGCTACTCTGTGTAGATTAGGAATGAAAGCTGGGAAGTTAAATGTGCGGTCCAGACTCAGAGAGCAAGTGATTTAGTGAGAATCAGAACTTAACTTTCGCTAGTACTTTGGTTTTTTTATTTCTTAACTGTGTTCAGCCAGAAATAGTTAGGAACTAACTGGCATATATGAAGATACTGAGTTGTCAGATGGAAAGAAGTGGAGATTTGGAAGTTAGGTAGCCGAAATCGTTAAAGCATATAAGCTTCCCAAAAAAAGGAATTTGGAAGAACCACAAGTGATTATCCAGTATTGTACAAATACTTAATTTTTTTAAGTTTATTTTTACTTAAATTCAATTGATTAACATATAGTGTATTATTAGTTTCAGAGGTAGAGTTCAGTGATTCATCAGTTGTATATTAACACCCAGTGCTCATTACATCAAATGTGCTTAATGCCCATCACTCAGTTACCCCACCTCCCCTCCAGCAACCCTCAAGTTTGTTTCCTGAAGTAAAGAGTCTCTTATGGTTGGTCTCCCTCTCTGATTTCATCTTACTTTACTTTTTCCTCCCTTCCCTATGATCCTCTGTTTTGTTTCTTAAATTCCACATATAAGTGAAATCATATGATAATTGTCTTTTTCTGATTGACTTACTTCACTTAACAAAATACTCTCTAGTTCCATCCACGTAATTGCAAATGGGAAGATTTCACTTTTTTGATGGCTAATATTCCATGAACAAATACTTCAACACTCATATCCCTAGAGAAATGGTCACCATTGAGTATGTTTTGTTTTGTTTTGCTTTTCTGGTGTTTTGTTTTTTGTTTCATTTTGTTTTAATTAGAATGAGAGAGCGAGCATGGGAAGGGGGAGGGGTCAGAGGGAGAAGCAGACTCCCTGCTGAATGGGGAGCTGGATGCAGACTCAAGCCTGGGACTTCAGGATCATGACCTGAGCCAAAGGCAGTCGCTTAAGCAGCTGAGCCACTTAGGCGCCCACCATTCTTTTTTTATATTTTCTAAACCTTCTACAAATAATTTCCAGAAGAACAAAAATAGTGAAAAACAATTTTATTGAAAATTTCAATATGTAACCGTAGCAAGCCCAAATTTCTATTACATGGCTTTCTGATTTTCGTGACATACATACCTAAAATGGTTAGCATCCTCTGAATCAGCTAACTGCTTATCAATTTTTATGTGTAAAACTGGAACACATAGTTTCAGATTTCAAATAATTTCTGATAGATTTTAGCTTTATCATTATTTGTAGTTCTAGCATTTTCATCATCAAAATATAATATGAAGAATTTAAACTTTTGTGCCCATAATTTTGTGTTGAAAGGGGGGTTGTCATCTTTGCTTCATAATTGCAAAACATTTTCATATTTAGATTATAAACTCAATTAGAATGATCAAGCCAATGAATGTTTCCTTTCTACATTCCTTCTAGTCACCTTTGTATATACATCTTCCTTTAGCACTTGTTCAGTTTCAAATCCTGTCAAGTAAATTGGTGTACAAATATAAAAGATGAAGCAGTCACACTTTTTTTTCTTAGAAAAACAGGATGGTCCGGGCTCTTACTGCGCAGTATTGCAAGACGAAGAATCCCTATTGAGTGACTTGCTAGATGAGAGTGCCGAATTTTTTCTTTCTTTTTTTTTAGTTTGTCTCTTGATTCCTGGGTTGGAGAGAAGTCATGTAGTATTTCAGCATCCAAAAATTCAGTCTTTAAGATTTTTGCATATACGATTAATTTTGCCATTATCATTTGTTTAGGGTATACCACCTATCATTTTGCATTCACTTTATTCATCTAATAATTGTGACATGGCTTTTGTCAGTTTCTGGTTTTTAACTAGTTGCCATTATGGGTAGAAATGAAAATTCTGGACTCAACTGTGTCCATGAAGCTAGAAGTATACAACGGGCAGTGACATCTTCTTGAAAGATGATGCACTACCTTGGACAACAGGATGAGAAAACTCTTCTGCTGTTTTTTCTGTTTCCTTATTTTAGTCATTTTTAGTATAGTTGGCAATAACTAATGAATCATAATATTTCCTACATTTGTTTCAAGATGTAGGGAAAAATATGATCACTAGGATTCCATAACATTTCTTAGATTGTAAAAGGGCCCAACTGACCATTTGATAATTGCAAGGTAGAATGAGTTTTACTTTTTTTTTAAAATAAGTTTTCTGTTTCCCTTTTCTGTTTTCTCTTTCAGAAGACCTTTAAGAAAGAATATAAGTCTTAATATATCAATCCTTAAATAACTAGAACTGCACAGAAAAGAAGTTGAAAACCTAAAATTGGGTCCATTTTGTGTTCCATGGTCCTTTAGACTATCACTAAAGCCAGACTAACTTTTAAGTAACAACCGTGGCAGGCTCTGGGTTTGAAATCCTAGGTACTCCAGGGCCTTGCAAAGCTCTAGGATAGTAGGTCTCAAGGTGTGGTCCTCACATGAACATCAACAGCATCATCGTCACTTGGGAATTTGTTAGGAATGAAATCCTTGAGCCCACCTTACTTGAGCCCAGACTTACTGGATCTGAAACCCTTGGGGTGTAGTCTGGCAGTTTGGGTTTTAACACACCCTCCAGGTGATTCTGATAAGTGCAGTCTCCAAAATCAAAGCTCTGGCTGCAAAAGAAATAAAGGATACTGCCTTGAGGTAACAGAAAAGGAGTATATATTGAGTATGATATATACGCTTAGCTACCTAAACAAAATCAGTGAGCCCTGTTTATAGTTAAAAATGACAGGAATTTTTTTAAACCTTAGGAGTTGCGGGGAGAGTTTAAACTTTTTAATATTTATTAGTATGCAAAAAAACTAATGGCTAATTTCTTTTGTAGCTTGGATCTAGCAATTGGGAAGCAGCAGACTTAGGTAATGAAGAAAGAAAACAAAAGTTCTTGAGACTTATGGGCGCAGGAAAGGTAAGCATCAAACAGTTTGTGTTATTTTAGTCTTTCTGTATAAATAATGTCCTTATTTTGTCTGTTGAGTGAGCCAGACTGAATATACTTGGATCCCATTTTCCTGTTCTGCTTAGGAAATACAGCTGACCTAACCAAGCACTTAAAATTTATACTATTTCTGAACCACTTCTGGGATTCTCAGTGCCACTGAGCAGTAAAGTTTAGAGACTGAATAGAGAGAAACCTTGGTTTGAGGAGACTCCTGTGGAAGAAAGTTTATAATTTGCTATCTGTTAGCTTAATGACTTAATAGTTTTCTGGGCAGACCAGTTGGTAGGCCTTTCATATTTTATAGCTCCCTCTAGCCCATGAAGTACTAGTCAAGCCTTTATCAAAAACTTAATCTTTAAAATGTTCAATATATTTTGAAATCCCTTTCAAATTGATTAACGTGGTAGAAAATAGAAAATATAGGTGCCAGGAAAACATCACCTTTTGGGGAAAAAAACCCGTCTTGTTCCTGGCAGTAATTTTTACATGCAAATACAGTTATTTCTAGATGCTTATTTTGTGTAAGCAAGTCAATTTATTTTTCTAACATTGCCCCAAATGTGGATAAAATATGAAAACTTTTTTTTTTGCTTTTTTTTTTAAGCTCCTTAAAATTAAATTCTGCCCTTTGTTTTTGTTATTCATATAGGGACTCACTCATGCATTTTACCAACCATTATTGACTGTTTACAAGATGCCAGGGACCATGCTAGGTCCTGGGGTTTACATAGATCGCATGTTTGGAGCCATCATATAATAGAGGAAACCAGATAATTTAGAATTATAATTGCTATGAAAGAACTGTGCATGTGCTATGAAAGAGCTGTGGAGTCAACAGACAAGGGTAGCTAAGTCTGCCTTAGTGGTATAAGAAAGCATCCCAGAAATAGAATTGGTGAAACAAAGAGGAGTTAGCCAGACTAGAATAGTGGGGTTCAGGGTAGCAAGAGATGGTGCAACACAGTAATACCTGTACATGGATACATTTTTATAATATCTTTTTAACCCAGATTTCCCGGTAATTTTGTGATTTATCATAGAAAGTAATCTGAAGTTTGCCTTGATTTATGCAAATTAAATATTTGTTAAGAATATATGAAGTAAGTAATAATTTAGGGGACGTGCTCAACCTAGTAGAATGAAAACTCTTTGAGTACTTAGGAAGAATACCCTAACATAAAGTGTATGAGATTTAGCTACCAGTTTTATATACCAGTTATATAGTCAAATGTATCTCATTAAAACTGTGGGGAAGAAAGAACAGATTGAACAATTTAAAAAACTAACTACCAGTATATGAGCTATTTAGCATACATTAAATTATTTCCTAGCAAGGCCAAGATTGTAGCTTTGATCTTATATATAGGCTGTTTAGTTTTATTCCATTCTGTGGCAACGAAGTATATTCCTAACCCTAGCAAGCTACCTTGAGTGTTTTACTGGTCACAGGGAGAACCAGCTAGGAGAAAGTATGAATAGACTAGTGTACTACTGTCATCATTCTCAGGTAACAATGTATTACACATTTTCAAATCTTGATAATGGAGTGTCTTTTGCAATCTAAAGAAGCAGCATATTGAATCATTGATTTGCTTCTGTGATAATGGCCTGTAAACCAGTTAAGTATTAATGCTTGAAGCCTTTCAGTAATATCTTGGAGTATGGAAAATGTGTCTGTCATCCTTTCACAATAGGAAGATTTGTTATGTACTATATCTTCACAGGTGATTGGTTAAGATTACTTTGCAGTCACATTTAATGTCTCCTTCACTGTGTTTTAGTGAAGAATTTCTTTCATTTATGAAACTAAATATGAACCATAAGGAGTGCATTGTAACTGATAATTGAGAGTAATTATGTGATGTAATTAATTAGTAACATTGAATCAGGATTTATTTGTATATTTTAGAGTAGAATTAGATTGCTTTAAATTCTGTTCTTGACAGTTTAAGATTGGGTACTTATTGTAGTCAAATAATAATGAGCTGGCTATTTGTTAAAGATCTATCACTTTTTTCATTATGAGTCTATTACTTTATTTTTATCTAGCTAAATAATTTCATTTGCTTTCTTTCTATAAAGTGTGCCTGAGATATCAGAAAGAGGAGATGGGAAAGTTAAAGCAACTCATTCAATTGGCCTTTTAGGAAAGAAAATATTTATATTGCTGCAATTTTTTAGTCATCTATCCCATTTAAAATTCCAGCCTGACCGCTGCATACTCTCCACTCCCCTTCTGTGCTCTGTGTGTTTTAAAGGCACTTAGGGCTTTCTACCGTACTATAATTTACTTAACTGATTTCATTTCCCCTCCTCATCTCTATCTTTGCTAGACTATAAGTTCCATCAAGACAAGGATCTCAATTTAATTCTTTTTCTTCAGTGTATCTCAGAAGCCTGGAATAATGTTGGGCACATTGTAGACACTCAATAATTATTTTAAGTTTGTGGTCTCAAATTCCAATATATTTTCTACTTTCTTACAGAAAGAACACACTGGTCGTCTTGTTATAGGAGACCACAAATCAACATCTCACTTCCGAACAGGTAAGAAAGTAAAATGTAATTGAAGAGGCAGTGCTGCATTTGGAACATGAGATACTCGTATGTATTGCAGGATATTCTCTGTATAATTGTGTTAATGATTAAAATCTTAGATCTGGAAATGATATGTAAATGTGTATATATAACAATTATCATATACTTTAAAGATTTGAGAGTATATATCGATGATATTCTGACCAAGAAACTGACCTTTTTCTGTCTTCGTTTTTATTGCTCGTACTTACTGTAGTGAGGTTTTATGCCTTATCTTGCCAACTGTTACGTAGTATGTATATATGAATTTTTTACATAAATTATTTAACATACGGTATTATTGTTGGCATATTAAACTGGCTTTGAATTTATTCACTGAGTTTTGTTTTGAAATCCTTAATAAAGAATAGAAACTTGTCACAAAGCCTGAAGAAATTAATTTTAGTGGAAAAAGTTTTAAAATAAAAACTAAAAATGAGTTTGAATTTGAATTCAGGCTGCTAAAAAATGAAATTTTGTCCTATATAAAATTGATACTAATCTTGGACATTATTAATAATAGGGCATAATGACCTGGATCATACTTAACAAACTTTTTAATTAAATTATTTAAATTAACTTTATACTGACCTAGAATATGTAGCACATTTCAGAAATTAACAGGTCTTTTATTTTTCCAAGTAATTATTTCAAATTGACTTGCATTCTTAGAAAAAGAATTTGAGGCAAAAAGAATACCTGAGCTTTCTAGAATGGAAAAATATTTAACTACTGCATTTATTCTTTTAAAACTGTGGACTTTATGAATAAAAACAGTGCAAGCACCACCATTTGTGACTTAAAATGAAATTCCTCTTATATTTACAAATTAAAATGGCATACTCAAGCTTTTTTTCTCCCCGCCCTAAGATTTATGTATGTATTTTAGAGAGCACGGGAGCACTTGCAAGCAGGGGGAGGGCAAGAGGGAAAGAAAGAGAATCTCAAACAGACTCCCTGCGGAGTGGGGAGCCCAATTCAGGGCTTGATCTTGGGACCCTGAGATCATGACCTGAGCTAAAATCAAGAGTTGGATGCTCGTGTGACTGAGCCAACCAGGCAACCCCTCAGAAAGCTTTGATGGTATTAGTAATGTTCTAGTTGTAATTAAGTTTGTGTTGTTTCAGTAAACTGGTATCTTAAAAAGGCGTGAATTAGAGCCATTATTTATTTAGCCATTCTCTGAACAGAATTGCCTGCCTTTTCATTATATATCTGTTAAAAGACAAACTTTTTTGTTTGTTGCTGGTGCTTTAAATGTGAGAGAAAACTCACTTTCAGGGAACAATTACTTATTAGACTATAAGTAAGCTAAAATTTTTAAGGCCCACAGTTCTTGGTAATTAATATTTATAATACCTGAACTTCAGGCAGTTCTGAGACTTGTGTAGTTTTAACTTACCACATAGAAAAATATAAGTTCTTCATCTTTTATCAACACTTTTGTAGTTCAGAGGGTAGGTTACTAGATAAATACATAAATACATCCTTCAGTTTTTTAATAGCAGTTAGGTATTAGTATTATATCTACTGTATAGAGGAAACCCATCCACAAAATGCGTTGTAAAATTAGTCACAGAGAAATCAGCCCTGAATATATTAGCATTTGTAATATGGGTTTTTTTGTGTAATCAAATGTTTTTATTAATTTGACTAAAACATAACCAAAGTACACTGGACATGCAGGGGAAGAAGACAAGAAAATTAATGAAGAACTGGAATCTCAATATCAGCAAAGTATGGACAGTAAATTATCAGGAAGATATCGACGACATTGTGGACTTGGCTTCAGTGAGGTAGTAATTAACATTTTCATTAAATGGGAAGATAATTTCTAAATTGATACCTTAATTTCTGTTAGATTACTCCAGCAGTCAAGAATCCTATGTAGAAGGCTTTCTTTTTACAGTTACTTAATTTTCCATATGCCCAAATAGGTCTTTGTAGATAATGAGAAAAGGTATTTTTGAGTTTTACAAACGTTTTTTGATACAAGCTTAATGTAAATTCAGCTTAGATAATCATTATGGCACATCTTTAATAAGCATGAACAACATACAAGTTAGAGAAAATATTTCATGTAAATACTAGTTTAGGATCTTTCTCAGTTTTCTCCTTGATCTCTTTTCATATTATAAGTGCTGGTTAACTACTCCAAAGTAATATAATATGTAAAAGATTGATCACTTTTCCTCATTTCCATGGGTCAGTGGTTAATTTGTCTTACTTTTAAAAAAATACTGTTTCTTTCAGGAAGATATGGTAGTTTTCAAACTAGGGGGAGGGGAGTCAAACAGAAACAGTCAGAGCTGTTTCTTAAAACAAAATCCTACTTAAGTCTAATGGGTAAAACACCAGGATGCCTGAGTCGATCATAAAACTTGATGTTAATGGCTAGGGAGTAGGTGTTCTGAGACTGTGACAAAAATTAGTGTCTTTCCCAGTTTTTGTACTGGGTAATTGTAGTGTTTAAGAAGAACCTGTTGGTTGATTTTCATAGGTAGAAGATCATGATGGAGAAGGTGATGTGGCTGGAGATGATGATGATGATGATGATTCACCTGATCCTGAAAGTCCAGATGACTCTGAAAGTGATTCAGAGTCAGAGAAAGAAGAGTCTGCTGAAGAACTCCAAGCTACTGAACACCCTGATGAAGTGGAGGATCCCAAAAACAAAAAAGATGCAAAAAGCAACTATAAAATGATGTTTGTTAAATCCAGTGGTTCATAACTCCCAAACACTTAGTCTTTGTATTAAAAGTAAGCCTTATTGTTATAATGCACAGTGGAGGACTGCTTATAGAGCACAGACCTTTGTATTATAATTTTTAAAAAGGCCCTTTTAAATAATTACAAAGAGTGTTTGCTTTCAGATGCCATGGATTACACTTTTATGGGCATGACTATAACCATTTTTGTAAAGAGTAAGAGTTGTATAAAATAAGAAATAAATACAGTACTCAATTTCATTTCATATTAGCATCATCAGACTCTAATCTCACCTTTTTACCCCTTCAGATAGTTATGGAGGAAACACTTTTTTGTGGTAGCTGTTTCATCTTTTTTGTTCCTTCATATTTTTCTCTTATAAGAAGTTTAATCTGATACTGTTGATGTGTTCATGAAAACTACTCAGTTATTGTACTTTGCTGCAGTAGAACTATTCATCATGGGTATTTCTGCTGCCAGTAACTATCTAAATTGTTTGCAAAGATTAGGTACTTAGGTTACTCTTACTGATTCAACTCTACTCTTTTGGACCAAAGCAACATGAGAGCAAATACTTTCACACCTGTTAGGATGGAGTTGCAACTGTCATACATTTGGCATGTTATGATCCCAAGCAGTCTTTATATAATTTGAATTACATTGTATGTTAGATTTTTGATAAAATTTGGCCAATTTTTACAGAAGAAATTATTTCTCTGATCATTTGGTCCTATCTATTTAGGAATATGTAAAACTGGAATTTTTTTTCAAGGTAATATGTGACCAAAGTTAATTTTCTTCCTGAGGCCTAAATAAAGAAAAAGCAGTTTCCCATATTTGGTTTGTGATACCTTTATCCTCATTATCTAAAATGAGGAATAGCCTTATTGAAGAAGAAGCTGAAACAAATTCTCTTCATTTTATCCCAATGTTGTTATCTTGATTATTGAATTACTGGAAAGTAGTACTGCTTTCTGATTTTGTTGCTGCTTCTTTGGGAGTGAGATTAGAATTCTCTGACTGGTTATGTGGTTGATGTGTACAGCAGATTAACAGGCTCCAATATGGGCTAGTCCATGATCTTTGAATATTTGGGTCCAAAATATTTCTAAGTAACATGTTCAGAGGCATGAGTCAAACCTGTTTGTTTGCTGAATTTTTATATACCTAGCTACTTACGTGTTCGATGTGTTGGACTTAAAAAACAAATTCCTATGTCACTTTGAAATTTAAAATTTAGGAGTCTAGCAACTTGAATAGGTGATAATCTGGTTCATGCAATCCATTCATAGATTAGAGCCCTCCAACATTTGGCTTTTGATTTTTCTTATTTCTTACATTGTTTTATAGTAGTTGCTACCCTACATAGTAAAATATCAAGTCAGGGGGTAGTAGACAGGATATATGACCTTTAATAGATACTTGGTTTGAATAGGTTTGGCATTATTCAAATTTCAGTTGGCCACAGATTTTTAAATATCTAGTTTCTAGGGTTGCTTATTACAACTAAATGAAGTAGTAAATGAAGGCTGATTTATGTTTAAGAATGGAAGTGGGAGAGATCAGTATTACATTTTAAAAAGTATTTTCCATTAGTTTATTGTTGAAACATGTTGGGTTATTTATAAGTCTTGGTTCTTAATATGTAAATAGAAGAGCCTTCTTCTAAAATAACTTTACTGGAAGACCTTTTTCTTCATGACCAAATGGAGAAGTTCTTATCCAACTAATTCATATATTATTGGACCATATACATAATTCAGGGTTGGAATAAATTTAGGTCTGTTGATCCATGTAGCCTAGTGTCCCAGCACCACATTAAACATCATGGCTATCTTTTAAGCATGAATATCAGGGTTGTGTTTTTTTTTTTTTTCCATTATCAATTTTAGGGAAAAAAAAGAGACAGATGCTTTGCCATCTTGATATCCCTATTAAAGAATCAGGTGGGAAAATACAAATTATTTTGGTACAGTGAGAGACTATTCAGTCAAAAGTTTAATGGCAAATTACTATCACTGATAATTTCTTACCTGAAATGCCCTTCTCCCAAGTGTTTATCTATGCCAATGATTTAACAGTCTTTACTGGAAAGCTTTTTAGGAACATAGTTTCCAATTTTGTGTGTAATAATGGGTAAAAGTCCTCAAATCTATAATTTTTTAAACCTGGGAGAAATGAAGTTATAGAAGAAAGTTTGAAGTTACTGTTTTTCTGATTAAACAGCAGTTTGAGATCAGAAAGACAGGTCACATTTGAGTAAATTTTGAGGAAAAATTTTCAACTACCTGTTTGACTTCAGTGACCACTTCTTACTGGGCTTTGGTTCCATTACTTTGTCTCCAACAATAACCATATCTTGGATACTTCCAATATCCAAAAACAACTTTACCTCTGAAATTGCTAATTTAGAAATTACTTCTGACCATAACAGTTCTATTCATTTATAGATGTTCAAATTAGGTCATTGTCAATCTATTTTCACCTTCCCAGTCCCTGTCTAGATTAGTAATTGGTCTATCAATTCAATAGCACTATTGTCAGTGTCCTAAATAATCTTCAGTCATACCTTCCTGGGAAATCCCATATGTAGATCTATCCAGTCCTTTATGGATTATTTCTGGAGAAGACCCAGTATTACTAAAAATCAATGTTAACTGGCCTAAACACTGCATGTTATCAGTACTGTTTTTTCTAGTCAACTCTTTTCCCATTTTGTTAGCCATTGTCTAAAGCCTCTATTCATAAACCTATAACCCTCCTTCATTCTTAACATGCCCTAACTTACATAAGAAATAGATTTTATCAGGCAGAAATTCCTTCAACTTCTGCCTTCTAAATTCACAACCATGGACAAGTTTCACAGCTTTAGGTTGCAGCCCTGCTCTACCACCACAGTGAAGAAGCTGAGTGACCTTGCGCAAACTGGATCTCTCTCGGTCTCCTTTTCTTGTCTGTAAAATAAGGATAGCAATAGCAACTACCTTGTATGGTGACTGTGACAATTTGATAAAGCAGATTAAAAACATTTCACACTGGTAGGTATTCAGTGCTCAATGAATACTAGCTATAGTTAATCCTTTGAATCTTCTTGTGAACCTAGTGCTTTTGATTATCTTCCTTTGCATCTTCAACCTCTCCCTTAATCTGTTGGCCCTTTTCCGTCAACATTTTTACCCCCAGTATTTTACATCTTAAAAATAATTGTTCTTAGATAATACATACTTGAGCTATTGTCATCCTACCTCATGCCTTCCACATCCAGTTTTAATAACTTGCTTCTGTCACTGCCTTCCTCACTGCCATCCCCTCCCTCCTCACTTCATTTCAATATGGTTTCACACAACTGCTTTGAAAACTACGTTCATCAAATCAGTGATTCTCATTTTCCTAAAACGGATTTTTCAGTTAATTCCTTGCTTGAACTGTTAGCAGTACTAAGCATTGTTAACCATCAATCTTTAGATGAATATCTACTCGGGTTACACAAAGAGATTCAATAGAATCAATTTCTGTACATCTATATGTTCTTGTTCCTAAATTGATCTCTCTCAAACCTACCTCTCCTTTCATGATTGACTTTCTCAAGAAAGGAAGGAAAGGCAATACCTCTTCATCATCCCAAACTTAACAGTGATTTATCTTCCCTGTGGGTAAAATCAAGGCTCCAAAAGGGGACAATTTGAAATGTTGATACTGAGGCCTGAATGCAAGCCAGGAGGTTTCCTGTTCTATGCCTTTAATAAAATTAGTAGAGAAAGTGAATTGTCAGCTAATTTATTAGGGATACATTTTGGTGAAAGATCATTATGATGTTTGGCCTAGATGCCAAGAGTTCAGGGGATTTGGTTGTTTTGTTTTGTTTTTTTAATTAACATAAAATGTACTATTTGCCCCAGGGCTACAGGTCTGTGAATCATCAGGCTTATACACTTCACAGCACTCACCATATCACATACCCTCCCCAATATCCATAACACAGCCACCCTATCCCTTCCCCCCCACCACACCCCCTTGCAACCCTCAGTTTGTTTCCTGAGATTGAGTCTCTTATGGTTTGTCTCCCTCCCAATCCCATCTTGTTTCATTTTTTCCTTCCCTACTCCCCACAACCCCCCCTCAAATCCCTCATATCAGAGAGATCATACGATATTGTCTCTCTCTGATAGGCTTATTTTGCTTAGCATAATGCCCTTAGTTCCAGAGGTTTGAAGTTTAAAACCTATTGCCAACTCTTGATATGAGCAAGGGTTCTCAGTGCTTTCACCTACAAAAAAGAAAACAAATTTTCTCCTTTAGAAATTCCAAGTTATATACATGTTGCTTCTGTTCTCCATGTCATTTTTCTTTATTTTTAAACCCTATCTTCTATTCCCCGTATTGTGATTTGAGCACTGTATCTTCTGTCATTCCAATTTTATATTCATTTTTGTAAATATTATTCCTGAGTTCCAGCAGCTTGCATTTCACTCTTTGTTGTTTCATCATATCCTCTTGTATTTCTGATGTCTGCTCTTATTTTATAGAGATTAATCTTCCATTAAGATACTCAGGTTATGAAATGTTTGATCATAATTCTCAATTTTATTTTAAAGATTTTATTTATTCATTTGACAGAGATCACAAGTAGGCAGAGAGGCATGCAGAGAGAGAGAGGAAGGGAAGCAGGCTCCAGGCCGAACAGAGAGCCCAGTGCGGGGCTCAATCCCAGGACGCTGGGATCATGACCTGAGCCGAAGGCAGAGGCTTTAACCCACTGAGCCACCCATGCGCCCCAATTCTCAACTACTTTGAGGCAATTTTTTTTTTTTTTGGTGTTCTTCATGTAATGTCTATTTTTCTTGATTTTTTCCTCTATTGTAATATCTTCATATAAAGCCTGTGCTAGTTTTTTGTTGTTGTTGTTTTTTGTTTTTTTTTTTTTACTTTTATCAACTACAAATATTTACTGCACCTTCTGTGTGTCAAGCACAGTTCTAGCCACTGGAAGTACAGCAGTAAGCAAAAATCTTTAATGATTTAATGAGGCTTACATTCTCATGGAGGGGTGATACACAAATGTATCAAATGAGATAAACATAAGAAAACAGGGTAAAGGGATGCAATGTAAGTAACTGAATAAGCTAGGGGTCACAAAGAGTTGTGAGATGAGTTCAAAGAGATAGCAGTTAGGAATAAGATCATTAAAGCCACCAAAGGAACTTTGGATTTTATGCTGAGAAGAGATACTGGAGAGAGTTTTTGATTAGAGTGACATGATCTAATGTAGTTAGGCAGCTCTGTTTGAAAAAAATACTATTGAGAGTCAAACGTCAAAATGGAGACCATAGGTATGAAATTATTGCAGTATTCTAGGTGAGCACAGGAATGTAGCTTAGAGTGTAATGGTGGAAGTAATGAGAAATTGATTCTGGGATGTATTTTGAAGGTAGAGCACCAGTATTTGCCAGAAGACTGGATGTAGCATGTGAGAGGGGAGTCAAGAATGAGTTCCCATTTACCTGTATGAGGAAAACTGATGACGCATCTTAAATTTAAGCTCTGCCCAGGTATTTGCAGGATTTTCATATTGAGGAGGAGATAAGCTAACAGTTTTTTAATGTGATCCAGAGTTATGTGTGTGAACCCCTCTAGCCTTGCCAGTGAAGATCATATGCTACAGTAGAGGGCTCTTCACATGCGGGGTTTTCCTCTCTTCCCTGCTACTTGAACAGACTGGTCCTGCAAATAGGCTCACCTTCGAGAAGACAGTAACTAGGTTTCTCAGATACTGCAGAAGCAAGTCTTCTCCTGTACTCTTCTTTTGATATTCACTACTTTTTCAACTCTTTCACCCATTTGAGAGTTCCACGTCTCACATGTCTCCTAGGTTTGTTGAAGCTAGAGTTTGCAGTTCCATTTCTCATTTTCCTTATTGCTTTTGGGTGATTTCCAAAAGAAGAGAGGAATGACTTCACTTTTCTGTCTCCAAACTGGAAGTACACATTAACTTATCACACCAAAATTATTACTGCTTAAACCCCCACTAGTTTGATTTCTGAACTTCAGCTCCCTAGCCCACTCTCAGAAGGCATTCCACAATACTTCTGGCATAGGATAAACCAAAGGAACATCTGTATGCTCCCCCCAAGGTATGCCCCCCACAGATACCAAACAGTGCCTTCCCTCTTCTCTCCATCTCACCAAGCTGCTGTTCACTGCCCTCAAAGCTGCTTCAAGGAGCCTAATTCACTCTACTAAATACAGTGCCTCTTGCACCTTTACCAGTACTAAGATGTTGCCTCCTCAGGCTGACTTCAAATGGAGTCATTCTGCCTGCCACTCTTCAAATTAAAGTGAAGCCATTTCCAAAAGGATTCTTATATTAGAGATAAAAGATCAGTCCTGAAAACTGAGGCTTACAGTTAATGTAATAAACACGAAATTTAAGCTTTGACAAGCTTCTACACAGGAAGAGTTTCCTTCCAAAGCCAGAGGAAAACACAACTCATTATAACCCATGATCTCTAGTTAAACTGGTTATGTGCTTTCCTTTATAAAGCAGACTACTGGTATTAAGTTCTAATGTGGGTCTTGTCAGGAGTATTATCCTTAGACCAGTGGTTCTCAACCAGGAGGGATTTTTGCCTCCCAAGGAACACTTGGCAATGTCTGAAGATACTAGTAATCGGTGCTACTGGGGGGTGCTACTGGTATTTAGTGGGCAGAGACTAGGGATGCTGCTACATTTTCTATGATACTACAGGACAGACCCCCGCAACAGAGAACCATCTGGCCCCAAATGTTAGTGTTGAGACTGAGAAATGTTACCCTTAAACCCAGGTGGATGGGCTCCTACCCTGGAGCCCA